AGCATAGGACGAAGAAACTAAATGGGGTGTGGACGGGGTGGGAGAATGGAGAAGAGAGTGGCTTCGAAATCCGGAGGTGCCGCACTTGAATGCACAGTAAGGACTCTCTATGTCTTGAACACGAATTCCCTTGAGCGACAGATTTTCCTTGCGTTGCTTCAGTTCAACCAGCCGAGAAACGAGTACAAAGCTGTTGACGTATAAAAGGAAAAGGTATAATGTTATCTGGTCTGATTATAATAGAATAGAAGAGAATGTGAATGCTGAAGGATGTGAGTGTCTATGCGGCTGATTTCGCACTTCCACCCCTGACAGCTGATCATCTACGATAATAATCAGCAAAAGGTGTAACCCAAAAACTATTTTAAAAAGTTTGCATTTGAACCGGACAAAACGGGTACCAACCGATTTCATTTCCGTAAGCGCTTTCAGCTCCTCATTGAGCCGAGCGATTTCAGCTTGCTGCTCTTCGTTCTCATGCTTCAGATCATCTGCGCCTTGAGAAAAGGCTTTGACCTCCTCCGCCAGTTTTGCACTACAAACAACAAATCAAACAAGGCAAGCAACAATTTATATATAGTAATACCAGCTCATTGATTTGGTTTCCAGATCTGCTTGCAGTGCCTGCGCTTTTATGGTAGCTTCCTCAAGATTTCTGCTTAACTCTTGCACGCTACGATTAAATTAAAATCCCTTATTAATGGCTAATAAGAAGTAATTATGGAAAAGCATATATCCGCAATAAAAAATCAGTAATAAATCACAGACTATAAAATACGTATTAAAAGCATAATCAGACATTCAGACTCATAGCAGCGTGGAATGTATCGGTAATAGCAAGCACCAAAAGTGAGGTGCTCTTTGACCAAACACGATTCGCATAACCTGTGAATTCCAACATGTAAGTAAGCCACATACTAAACAATTTGTTCCTCTCATTTTTGAATGCAGGATCAGTCTATCAACTGAGTTGCAGAACTGAACCCCTTTCATCACATGAACGTTGAAAAACTTGCACATGAGTGCAGTCAAGCTATCAAAACATCAGAGTCATCCATCGTTGCTAAAAAACCTGTCAAGCACCGACTTGACAGGCCGGTTTTGCGAAGGCGCTAGCTTAAAGAATGATTCAAATGTCCCCCCCCCAGTTGAGCAGAGCTTCAAGACTTGAGTTCAAGGATCGATAAAACCGTTGGTTGAATATTCCGGAAATATCTAAACCATTTTTACCCTTGACAGCTTGCCATTTTGTTTTTCCATCATAGTAGTTCGATTAAGAAATTCTTTTCTGACATTCTGAGACCGCAACAACATTCCATGGAGGAAGGTTACAATTTTCTCCATACGCGTCTTTCTCTTGATTACATGACTAATCGCAGAATCTCCTTGTTTCTAAAGCCCTATGTCACCTCTAATACAGCTCATGCAAATCAGATATGCATGTATTCAGGCTGACGACTAGCCTATCTGTTAGCAAACTCAGAATATCATGGTATCATGCGTATCCATGTAACTTTTCAGAGTGATAAGCGGCCCATACCGGCACAGATTGGAATCAATTCGTAATTCAGTCCATACTGATATGGACCGAAACAGCTCTGAGATTCAGTCCAAGCAAGTAATACCGCGAATTTACTGGATTATGACTAAGCGTGAGCACTGTTGTCTGCATGTTCAAGTTTACGACATGGCTTCAATGTAGACTGCGGCTTAAGTACCACAAACACCGAAACCATACATTATTAGTCTTGACTGAAAAACATGTTAGTTTCAGGTACCGATACGGTCCAACGGCCATTCTGGAAGGTAAAATATATGCTAACACATAAGAGCAATTTAAACT